GATGATGCTTCACCTCACATACTTTGGGCATGCTGCGAGGAGGGGCTAGTCCTCCGAGAGGGACATGATACTTGGAAGGGTGGAGGGTTGGCGAGAGAGGGGAAGACCCTCAACCAGATAGACTGACTGACACGGTGACAGCCACAATGGGTTCTAGTGTGTCAGGAAGTGTGAAGATGGCACAGGATAGAACAGGGCTCAGATCCAACGTTCACAGGGTTGCTATGAGTCATCTATTTGACTCAACGGCACCAAACAACAACAATAATATGTCAAGGGAGTTCTAGGGGCCCAGTAGGTAAATAGCTGTACTGTATTGTGTCAAACTGGATGAATGGACAGAAGGATTGAAGAAGGAACTCCTACTAGCCTGCCTCATTCATCCTACTGCAATGTACTGAACACCTACTAGGTGCATGGAACTATACTGGTCTCTCAAGACACATGAGAAGTTTCTGGGTGGTGCAAACAGCTAGCATGCTCTGCTACCAGCCACCGGTTAGAGGTTAAACAGACGTGCAGGGATCTACTCCCAACTCACACACGTGTATTTCCACAGCTAGTTTTCATTTTTCACACTCTGGAGCAAGCCCCGATCCCCTCCCACCTGCCGGGCACTAACTCTGGGGCCAGCCTCCTAATCTGCTCTCCTTTAAATCTCGACAAATTTCATAGGAAAAACCACGGCATCTCGTTTCACTTTGCATCTGCCTCGTGGCCAGTGAGGGAGCTCTGAGGCCTGGTGGGTAAGGAAGTTGGGCTTCTAACTCAGAGGCAGAAGGTTCGGATCCATCAGCTGCTCTCAGGGAGACCAACCGGTCATCTCCTCCTGCGTGATTTACCACCTCTGAAAACCTGCTGGAGGGTCAGCTATATGAGTCAGTTCCAACTTGACAGCAACGACCACCGCTCTCGGTCATTAGTGAGGACGGTCTGGCGGGGCAGTGGGTAAGGAGCCAGGCAGGTGGTACAAATTCAGCGGCCACTCTGCAGGGGAAAAGGTGGACAAAGACTTTGCAATCTACAGCCTCGAAAAACCCACTGGAGGGTCAGCCCTGGGTCAGGACCTCGACAGCAATGAGTTAGTTACTAGTGAGATGCAACCTATATGGTTGCCGTTCTTTCTTAATTACACTTTCACCCCATTTTTCTGATCGGTGTCATAGAGCACATACAAAGGGAAAGGAAAATGTCTTTATACAATAGAGATTTCATACCCTCACGGGAGAAAATAGCAAAGTCAACACTGTATTAAAAAAATAGCTAAGTCAACTACAGTACTGCTGAAGGCTTTTGTTGTTGTTGTTGTTGTTGTTGGGTACTGTCAAGTAGGAACTGACCCAGAGCTGACTCTACAGTGTCAGAGGCAGTAAATCACGCAGGAGCAGACCGCCCAGCTTTCTCCCATGGGGCAGCTGATGGATTCGAACTGCCTACCTCTGCATTGGCAGCACAACTGAAGCAGGAGGGTTAAGTTTTCCTCCATCATTAAAACAGGAGGTTTAATTACCAATAAGCAGAGAGTCAGTCGGTGACTGGGGCAATCGGGATGAGTGTGTTGGAGGCAGTAAGATTGGCACAGGACACAGCAGAGTGTAGAGCTGTTGTACACAAGGTCACTATGAGTTGCAAGCGACTCGATGGCACACAACAACAACAACAAGCAGAGAGTCATAAGGCCAACAAAGTCCTATAAAGATCATCACGTTGTTGAAGCATTCTGCCTCAGCCACGTGCAACTGTCATCCTAGTGTGATGATCTTGCATGGCCACACTCCCCTCGCAGGTTTGTTGTGCTGCTAAACTCTGAGATTCTGGCCCCTTTGGCTTCTAGATCGTCTAGATCTTTCTAGAACACTAGCTTAAGTCAAAATGAAAGCATTACTCAGTCGGCCCTCTCATCGTTCCTCTCCTCTTCCCCCAGGATGCTTGCAGAATGGACAGTCAAGATCCCCCTCTAGACCAGGAAGAGTCTGTTCTTATCTGGGGGAGGCCAGTGGCTGTCCCTGCAAGGGTCACACTGCACTGTCTCACGCTCTTACACATCACAATGCCAGTGGCTGCCCTGGTTCCCCTGCTGGCCTCTCCTTTCAGGCTCCCCTTAGGGTAGCAGCAGGGTAAGAGGGGGAACAAATGTGTCTGAGCCAAAGGACCCACGTAGTGAATTAATTCTTAGTGTTACAGTCACCTACACAAAGGATGCAAGTGGCATTTTCTAAAAGGTCAGGTTCAAAACTACAGGCGGGTCACAAGAGTGGGGTGTTACTGTTGTCAGATGCCATCAAGTCAACCTCCAGCTCATAAAATGCAACAAGGCACTGTGCCGTGCCAATGATCTGCAGATCTGAAGATGAGTTCCTGGGTTTTCACCTGCTGACATTCGGAGGTCGACTGTCAAGACTTTCAGCCTAGTCTTGGCCTGGAAGCTCCCCTGAACCCCGTTTAGAGTTGCACCAGGAGCCAGGCCTTCGATGGCAGATGAGTGGTGGCTGTGCGTAAGATGCACTGGCCAGGCCTTGGACCAGGTGTCCTGCATGGCAGGTGAGAATCCTACCACTGAGTCAGACCTGAACACACACCAGGAATGAAAGCATTAAGAGCCTGTGTCCAAGAACAATGCTGCTGGGATAAGTCTAAAGCAATGATGTGTGGTGGTGGTTTTGTTGTTAAGTGCCACTGAGTCACCTGCGACTCACAGCGACCCTATGTACAAGAGCCCTAAACCCTGCTGTACCCTTTGCCAATCTCACTGTCTCCAACACATCTACCTCGATTACTCCAGTCACGCAATCAATGCACTTCATCAAGGGTCTTCCCCTTCTGTGCTGTCCTTCCACCATCCCAAGCATGTTTTCCTTCTCCAAGGACTGGTTTCTCCTTGCAACATGTCCAAAGTATGTCAGATGAAGCCTCAGAATCTTTGTCTCCAAGGAGCAGCGTGGTCTCACCCTTTCTAGGATGAACCTGTTCATTCTCTTAGCAGTCCATGGTGTATATTCAATACTCTTCTCCAACACCACAGCTCAAAGGCATCAACTTTCCTATCATCCCTAGTCTTTGTCAAGCTCTTTGATACATAGCAAGTGATTGAAATGATTTAGGAGTAGACAAAAGACCTTGCACTGGGAAAAAGCTTGTTTCAGAAAATAAAACAAAACCCAAGCCCTG